ATCTGTATGGGTGATGTTTCGGAGAAAGTCTAGGAGATCTCTGGACAAGTTCTCTTTGTCACAAATACCGCATGTCTCAAAAGACATCAGAGTTGACAAGGTTGGGGTGCAGACTTCTTATGATCAAGCAGAAAGTGTAGCTATTCCTGTTCATGACAAAGCAAGTGAGAACAATTCTGACAAGTTCTTAGTTCATTTGCGCAAAAGCAAATCCAGCGATGCTGATAATATCAGTCAGTGCAGCTCAGTTTATCATCACGAGAGAGGATTTAGTTCAATGTCAGGGGAAGAAGGAAGCTCCGGCACTGTTAAGAAGCAGTCTGCATTGGCATTTGGAGGAGTGATAACTGCCTCTCCTCTAGTTGGCTTGCCAGAAATTTCTCATCTTGGGTGGGGTCACTGGTTCACACTAAGAGATCTGGAACTTGCAACTAGTCGCTTCTCTCCAGAAAATGTGATTGGTGAGGGTGGATATGGGGTTGTTTACAGGGGAAGATTGATCAATGGATCCGAGGTGGCAGTTAAGAAAATTCTTAACAACTTGTAAGAACACTTGATGGTTTATCCTGTGACTGTCATCTATTGCTGCTATTTCTTGATTGAGCAATGATCTTTGAACTTGCTCCATAATTGCATAATGTGTTGAATTCACAGGGGACAAGCAGAGAAAGAGTTCAGGGTGGAAGTGGAAGCTATTGGCCATGTGAGACATAAAAATCTTGTGCGCTTACTTGGTTATTGCGTAGAAGGAGTTCACAGGTAAACTTGGTGTTCTTAATGTATCAAAATATCACAAATGAAAATATTCCCTTATATACTGGATCACATTACTAACATTATTTTTTGTGATGACCTTTGTCTTACTTTTTTGTTGAAAATTTGAACTGAAGCAAGCTCTTTTGATTGCTTTTTCTTAATAAGTGTGGTTGCCATCTGATTTGCAGGTTACTGGTGTATGAATATGTGAACAATGGTAATTTAGAACAATGGCTACATGGGGCTATGAGCCAACAAGGGATACTTACCTGGGAAGCGCGGATGAAAGTTATAACTGGCACAGCCAAAGCGTAAGTTTTATTTGAAAACTTCAAAAAGAGGACAGTATGAATTATTTCTGTCGACTTATGAAAAATTGCAGTGAAAGCATTTTGTGATAACTATTTTAAAATTCATATTTAGGGTGATCTCTAAATGGTTGACCATGTTAAAACTTGTCACACTGTTGGTGTATCAAAATTAAACAATCAGTTTTTAATGTGTACCAAAGAATGTCATCAATGTAATTTGAGAGTAAAGGGTGATATTGCTACTTTGTAGGATATATAGTCATGTCTTTTGCAATTTATTTGCTCCACTAGGATTCTGGACAACACAGCTATGTGTTGTCTGCTAATCTGCTCCACTGGTCCATTGTTAAATCCCTAAACATAGGGCACAAGGGACTTGTTGCCTAGATTATTATCTTTTCCATAGTTTTATGTTGGTGCTTGCTCCATTGGATACTTAACTTAATATTATAGCAATTTCAACATTAGGCTTAGTTCCACTGATTAAGCTCCCTGTTTCCTGTTACTGGTGCAGACTGGCTTATTTACATGAAGCAATAGAACCGAAAGTCGTTCACCGGGATATCAAGTCTAGCAACATATTGATTGATACCGAGTTCAATGCAAAAGTTTCTGACTTTGGCTTGGCCAAACTTTTGGACTCAGGAGAAAGTCACATTACTACTAGAGTAATGGGAACGTTTGGGTATGTAAAATGTTTTGGTATCCACTTTACAAATACTTTTAAAGGATTGCATGAATGGAAACTTACTCCTGTTTCCAATTTCAGTTATGTGGCACCAGAATATGCCAATACGGGTTTGTTAAATGAGAGGAGTGACATTTACAGCTTTGGTGTTCTCCTGCTAGAAGCAGTTACTGGAAGGGATCCTGTGGACTATTCACGTCCTGCTAATGAGGTATGAATTACTTAAGCAGTGACTAATGTACTGCTTCTAACTTTCTTTTGCATGAGAAGTGATCTCTGTTTTGCTTTTTGTATAGCTGATAATATTTTGATTATCCTCATTACAGGTGAATCTTGTTGAATGGCTCAAGATGATGGTGGGGATGAGAAGGGCCGAGGAAGTTGTGGATTCAAGGCTTGAAGTGACACCATCAACACGTGCTTTAAAGCGTTCTCTTCTGGTTGCACTTAAGTGTGTTGATCCTGAAGAAGAAAAGAGGCCTAAAATGAGTCAGGTTGTGAGAATGCTTGAAGCCGATGAATATCCATTCCGAGAGGTTCATTCTTTGTCTTATCTTCTCATATTTAACTTTTGCTACAGAATCTGAATTTTTATCACAATTTGGGACTTTGGATGTTTGTTTCGCTCCTTGCTACCTGACACATCATTGCGAGTACATACTAACTCAATAGCCTTTTTGTAATCCTAGTGTGTTAAGCTTCTTTTCTGTGTGGAATTATTTTTTGAACTTGATATTTTTGAATGACTAGTAAACAATAACATGTTCCCAAATTTATTCTCAGAATTCATCTGCCCGTATGCATGCCCCTTTCATGATTAGTTACCAGTTACTAAATGTTGAATGCCATGGATCCTGTGGTTTTGTGTGTGCATGTTTGAATGTATGCGTTTCTGGATATTACATGAACTCTTCATCAGTCACTTCTATTGGATTTGTTAATTTAAGCCAAACATATATTCTATATCACTTCCAGGATCGAAGAAATAGAAAGAGCCGCACAGCCAGCATGGAAATTGAGTATCTGAAGGATATTTCTGGCCCATCTGATGCTGAAAAGGTGAAGGGTTCTGAAGGCCATGCACCAGAAACAACTCAAGCGTAGGATTGACAGCCACACTTGACTTAACCAGGATGTACAATCGGCATTGTTTCAATTTCTGTAACCAATCAAATACCATATATGTTCAAAGCTTGTCTTGAGATTTTTCTTTTGCCGCAAATCCGAGAAGATAATGAATTCTGATAGGAGAATTAAGTTGGAGATAGCTCATTTGGACAATGAAGCATTTTCTTGTTCAAGATGGTTATTCAAGGATATATGATACACAATTTTTTGGAGGATGAAGTCAGGGTGAGTGAACCAGTTCATGTTGTACTTGTACAGATGTCATCTGAAACCACTCTCTCTTCCTTACATGACTGCTAATTTTGCAGCCATTTTTGTCTGCCTGAGAGTTGAGATGATGAAAACTGACTTGGCTTCACTGTAGTTGCCATTTTGCTTTAAGTTAATCATTATGTATAAACTCCAAAAAGCATTATGTGAAGCGATAATATTTCTTTCTTTTGAATTGCCATGAATTGTCTACACATATTTATTATATATATGTGTTTCTATCACATTTCAACCTGTTGTACATATAGAGGAAAGTATGTCGTGTGATTCAATTTGCCACCTACCCAAATCATTATTGATCAACCAGGAAATGGATAAACTACACCGAATGACATATATGCTTATAATATTCGCCAGTTGAAACACTTATTTGTTTCAATGTTTTTGATTTCGACTAAACCTACATTTAGTGTCTTGGTTGGTTTAGACTGTGTTCTTATGGATGGATTTGCTCTTCACACAAAATAGAAGGTGTAGATTTGCGAGGAATTAGCACTTTATGCGATTCTCTTTTATGTAACGAGATTTATGGGTGATATATGAGTTTTTACAAAAATAACTCCACTTTAAAATCACGTGGTGCTTTTGCTTCCAAGAGCTTTGGAGTGATTGGGTCGTGCAGCAAGGTGATAACCAAGGCAGGTTCATGGTGACTTGACTTGCGATGGTGTCCGTTGGCATTGCAGAATTGGCGCTGAAAGGGTGACAAGAGCCTTGAAAAGCTAGGAGAAACTTGGGTCTTAATAATTGGAATCGATTCCGTATAGCTGGAAACGATTTCCAATCCTTTGTGTGTTAATGAAACCGGTTCCCAATCATTTGTCTAATGAAACCGATAAACTAGCCTTTATGTTGCATTCTTTCAGGATAATAATAAAAATAACAATAATAATAATAATAATCACTATAAGGATAAAAAAGTAATTTAACATTTTAATCTATTAATTTTTTTTAATTATTACATCATCAAATCTTTTACAAGTTTTATTTTTAAATTCATTCACTTTCATCTCTAAATTCTTTAGAAGGAACAAACTTTATCTTTAAATCCATCAAGTCACTTTTTCTTAAATTCATCTTTAAAAAAACACACCTTTAAGCATGTGATCTCTACCAGAATTAGAGTTTCACTCATAATTTATACAAACTTTTACTAGGCAAACGATTGGAAGTACCTAAAAAATTGTATCTAACTTTAGTTATTTTGTTCTTGGAAGTTCTTAAAAAATTGTATCTGTTATTTTGTTCTTTGTGTAGATACTAGATCAAGTTCAATAATGAGCAGTTTGAGGGAGCTTTCATCGTTGAGCAGTGGAATTTTGTTGAAATCATTGGTGTCAATAAACAAATTAGTAGGCTTCTATACCTAAAACGTGCATTATTCTTATGGACTCCTTGTAATATATAGCCTTGGGGTGCTTCAACCATTTGATCCAAATTGATATGCTAACTCAACTTTTATTCATTTAATTTTCTTTTTGCCACCTTTTACCCCTCATTCACTCAAACGTATGTTTTAAGTCATCTTGAACAAGCATTAAGAGGCATGCATTCATACGAAATTGTTCAAAGTTCAGATGCTGAAATACATAACACCAAACTACATTTTGTCATTAGTTAATCTAACTGTTTGGTATGTTAGAGATATTGAAGTGACATGTTCTTATCAGTTCACCAAGTGCCTTCTGTATGGTAGGAAACGAATTCAAATTTTCAAAGTACCAAAAGAACAAAGTACCAAAAGAACAGTCACAAAATTTTGTTATTACATCCATCCCACACTAGCTGTCAAGTTAAGAGAATTCCCGATAGTGTTCTTTAAATAAATGGAACCATTCCAATCACTATAAACATAACTTCCAATATTTCCATAAATGTCTCAACACTCTTTTATCTATACCAAAGTGTGCCAAACATGACGAGTAGATGAACTTTGGTATAGCTGCAGTCAAGTGAAACAGACAGTCAAATAACTTTCATACTGAGTTACATTGGTTTTCCCATCACCATCATTCTCGAAAACTTTTCATTTACTACAAAAGGAGTTTAATCAAGATTACAAACTTTCAACTTTGTGTTTTTCCTTCTTCAGGGTAATGCATTTCCATTCCCAAAAATACCTCATTACTCCAATATCGATCATTTCAGAAACCTGCAACATGCTCAATTAAAAATAGTATATACATAATTGTACATATTTAAGTTTTGACTATGATACTCCTCGTTTTTCTGTGACTTGTTTAATCTGAAATGTTTTAAATTAAACTAATGAGGCAAAAAAGGTCTTAATGAGTGTCCTAGACACACATCATGCCTATCATATTTAACTACTTATAACATTACGTTACCAGAATTTCTTCATATATAAATCATAATCAACATATTGTATATAAACTATGGCATCAAAATATGAAATTAGCCAAATTGAGCTCAAAATCTCAAGGAGTATTCCCCTTGCATATGCCATTAGTCTGAAAAATAAATACGGTCCTAATCAAAGTCTGATGCACTAAGGCAATGTTTGCACTACTTTCTAGGGATTTGTTTGAATATGCTCTACCGTCACTAAACAATTCAAGAATGTTTGCACTACTTTCCAGGGATTTGTTTGAATAGGCATTTTCTTTTTCGGCAATGAGATTAAGTGACAAAGTGATGGAAGAACTTGTTAATTTGTGAAAAGCTCATCAAAGGAACAATATATTTTTGCAAAAAGATTGACTGACAGAAGGGTAGAAGAAACTGTTAATTTAAGAGAAGATAATGAAAGCAATAACGCATGTTTGCAGTAAGATTGAGGGACACTGGTAAGAATTTTGTGACTAAGAAATAACTTACGGAAGAAACTATATATTTTTCATAAGATTGAGGAGCAAAGTGAAACTGGTGGGAGATTTTGTGACTTTATTAAAAACTAATGAAAGAAACAATAGATTTAGCAAACAGTGGCAATAAATTAAAAAATCATTGCGTGGAGCAAAATAAGTTATTCTTTTCATTAAATGCATGTTAAAATTCAAGTTGAACGTTCTCGGAAAGGTTGCTTACATGATAATATTTCAATGACAACTTATAATTTGAATTAGCTTTCAGAATTAGAATAATTTATTTCGAAACATATATTTACAATAGAATTAATTATGAATGTCTATATATATTTATAAAATTCACAGATATCAGGACAATGCCAGTTCGGTTGAAATTTTAGTCCAGGGCACAAAAACATAAAGGTTTTAGGGAGCAAAAGTTAAATATTTATGATTTAAAAGGTACAAACAACATTTCAAGAAAAAAATATCTTTTATAGTAAGTTCATAATTGTAGAAAATAAAAAATATTATTAAACTAAACTCACTAAAAGGATGCCTAAGGCAATAATTGAGATTACATAATCTGAAAGCAAAAAAATCTTCTTGATAGTCAAAAATAACTTTCAAATTGTACAATCTGAAAGACAAAAATGACTTTTGGATTATGCAATCCGGAAGTTAAAATTGATTTCTAAATTATACAATCTGGAAGCTATTTTTTCTTAAACTTATTCAACTCTGAAGTTACTTTTGGCTCCCAAATTATGCAATCCAAAAGACTTTCTCTGAAGAAAAATAGTTTCGGATTGTGCAATCTGAAAGTTGTTTTTGACTTTCATATTGTGCAAGACAAAAATATGAAAGTGTAGAAAGAATTTGTCGCTCATGATGGGTTGTTGTTGTAAACCTCTTTATATTGTTTATAAATAGTGGCTGACTAACATTATGGTCATGGTTAGAACTAACAATAAACTTAACCATCTCGGTATTAGTTCATTGATTCAAGAAACTTAATTTATAAACCAAATAAGCTAAACTTCAGATGAAAAATTAAAGATAAAAGTAAAGAATTAGGTGAAAAGAATAAACATTATTTACCAAGAACTTGTTATTGGAAAACAACTAACAAAAAAATTAGTGATTTTGCATTGGAATTTGCTGTTACGCCAAAGCACATAGGGTTGTTCATCAGACTTCACCCTGGCCTGCAAAACATANTTGAATTAGCTTTCAGAATTAGAATAATTTATTTCGAAACATATATTTACAATAGAATTAATTATGAATGTCTATATATATTTATAAAATTCACAGATATCAGGACAATGCCAGTTCGGTTGAAATTTTAGTCCAGGGCACAAAAACATAAAGGTTTTAGGGAGCAAAAGTTAAATATTTATGATTTAAAAGGTACAAACAACATTTCAAGAAAAAAATATCTTTTATAGTAAGTTCATAATTGTAGAAAATAAAAAATATTATTAAACTAAACTCACTAAAAGGATGCCTAAGGCAATAATTGAGATTACATAATCTGAAAGCAAAAAAATCTTCTTGATAGTCAAAAATAACTTTCAAATTGTACAATCTGAAAGACAAAAATGACTTTTGGATTATGCAATCCGGAAGTTAAAATTGATTTCTAAATTATACAATCTGGAAGCTATTTTTTCTTAAACTTATTCAACTCTGAAGTTACTTTTGGCTCCCAAATTATGCAATCCAAAAGACTTTCTCTGAAGAAAAATAGTTTCGGATTGTGCAATCTGAAAGTTGTTTTTGACTTTCATATTGTGCAAGACAAAAATATGAAAGTGTAGAAAGAATTTGTCGCTCATGATGGGTTGTTGTTGTAAACCTCTTTATATTGTTTATAAATAGTGGCTGACTAACATTATGGTCATGGTTAGAACTAACAATAAACTTAACCATCTCGGTATTAGTTCATTGATTCAAGAAACTTAATTTATAAACCAAATAAGCTAAACTTCAGATGAAAAATTAAAGATAAAAGTAAAGAATTAGGTGAAAAGAATAAACATTATTTACCAAGAACTTGTTATTGGAAAACAACTAACAAAAAAATTAGTGATTTTGCATTGGAATTTGCTGTTACGCCAAAGCACATAGGGTTGTTCATCAGACTTCACCCTGGCCTGCAAAACATAGGGAAACTTCTTCTAATGTGCTCTGTTGTATCAACAAAAATTAATAAACCAAGAAACAAAGATGCTAAAAATGAAAATCACCAAGTGGTTTCATTCACATGATTATAAAACCAATATGCTGTAAATCTTACCAAAACTCCCTCCCTCCCAAGAATACCATTCACATTTCACACACATGAAGTGGTTTTTGCAATAACCAGTCTGCTTCAACTTCTGGTTTCCATGGGTTAAACATCCCACTCCATAATACTTGTAGATGGTGCAACCCTTTAAACTAGAAGCAGCTCCGAAAAAATTTAAGGAAACAAAGCTCTGCCCTTAACATCTCTTCTGCTAAAACCTTTGGCTAAGGCAAATGCTCCATTCAATGAGAAAGAACACGACACTCGATCTTTCCTAACAACAGTATAATATGCTACTGAAAAGATAACTAGAAGTTGAGAAAAGTTCAAAACTATACGTATCCATGACTTCCTATAACAGTATGCAGTATGCACTGACATGACAAGATATAGTGACAAATTTCAAGTTGAAAAGAGTCGTAAGCTTGGGCCTGGAAGACAACTAAACAAAATTCATTTATTAAAGAATTGTAAAACTAGCATAACTTAATGCGATTATATTTGACTGAAACTGTAAAATAGATAAACAATCAAGATAATTAAGTTGAATATCGCCAGTAAGTAGATTTATATATTTGATTATAAAACCCATATGCTATAAATCTGAACAAAATTCCATCCTGTTTAAGCAAAACAAAACTCACTATATCGACACAAAAAACAAAAGCAGACAGAACTTAAGTTCACTTTAGAACTGAAATAGAAGAGTTAAAAGTTAGAAAAATGGCCTGCATATACCTTCAAAGTCTACATTACGTCATCACGATGAATCAATCCTTTGTAGACATCTGGTAAGAGAGGCAAATGTTCCTTAAAGCTATCGACATATTTCTTCAAAAAAACATTCTCCTTAATGCCCATATAGTAACCAAAACTCAAACTCCTCCTAACCAAACCTTTTGATTTCAAGATTTTAATTATTGAGAATCTAGGGATAATCCTCTTCTCCAAGTTGTAGACTAGAACTGGAGGATATGCGGCAATTTCCAATGATGGCAAACCCATATCCTTAACTAGGAAAGTCATTTTTTTCGTAATTGTCTCGTCGGTCAATTTTATAAAATTGGGATACTTCAGAAACGCTTGAAGAACTATTTCCCTGTTCCAGTCCCACCTCTTATAAATCTCAAATCTCGATTCCCATGCCGCTTTACGCATTGTTAAAAGCACTTGGACACCCATGACAAAACTTGTTCTCGTAGGGTCAAACCCCAATTTCTTAATTCTCTCGACAACTTTAACAAATCTGGAATGCTTCATCAATGTTGCAGAAGGGAAGTTGACCATCAGCAGAGAGATTGAACCCTGAGGAACCCCAGACTGCCTCAAAACCTTAATGTTTGGAATCAAGCATTTCTTTAGGTCACACATTATGAAACCAACTGGAGATTTTCTCAAAATTCTAACAACTTCCAGATCATCACGAACTATACTCCTGATAATCTCGTATCGTGGCAGAAGGCATTTTCCCAGACTCCTCCGCAAGATTGAAGGACATTCATTCACGATCTTAGGCACGTCAGTGTTGGAAACCCCAATAGAGTGGAAGAACTTGAGTTTGGGCAAAAGGGTCTTCTCCACCTTTGCAACAAGCACACGGGGATTCTTCTCGACAAGTTTTGCAACCTGAGTTTCGGAGAATCCATAGTTCTTGAGAGTGTTAATAACAGCATTTGGACCATCTGGGGTTTTCAAATTCACACTCTTGGAGACTTTCCTGGCCAATTCCAGGGACAACCCACATGAGTTGATGAGGTAAATCACGGTAAAGGTGTCACCTTTGCGGGTGTCCCCACCAGAGGTGAATGTGTTGAACCTAAAAAGAAAAGCATTGTGCTTGTGTTGCAGCAGAGAACCCAATTGGAATTGGGTGCTTCTGTGGTGTGTGAAGGACGCAAATAATCTAGTAATGATAATACGAGGCACCATTTACTCACCTAGATTTCAATGTTCCACAACGGTGCAACCTTCAATGCAAACCCTTTAGCTGACTTCAAAGCACGGTGGTCTAAAGCTCGATGGATTTCGACAACAGGTTCTTCTTAGGTTTGACTGAGACCATCGAAGGTATTCAGCTTCGTTATGGAGAGAAGGAGGTGCGTTTTTTTATTGAAGCATAAGCAGTTATTGATAAAGTTGAAAAGAATGAATGATAGCCTCATTGTGTAGTTCGGTGCCATGTAGATGCTAATTTCCACGTTGGAATTGTTATGTAATTGAGTTTTCGTAAAAAAGAAAAGTTATCATTAACAAAAAAAAAAACATATATATGAAAATATGAATTGTTGAATATTTTAATTTATAAATTCTCATTTAATTGGTAAAGTATTTCCTAAATATTTTGCCATATTTAAGGTTCTTGATATTTTGACACCAATTTTTTGAAAATATTTTGACACAGCTACGTGTTGCGATGTTAGTGATATATGTGTACAAGAAATTAGAAAAGGTAAATGATGTGGAGATGAAAGGCTGCAGGGTTTCAAGCGTTGGGCTTCACTTTAGGATTTCAAAAACAGAATATCACTTTTGTTTGGAGAGAACCAGAGAGAAGGAACACCTAGCTTGGCAGGCTTCATTTTCGGGTTCCAAAAATTGGAAGCTCATTTGTGCGAGAGAAGTTGAGAGAGAACATTCTCCACTTGTAGACCCATTTTCGCAGAACCTATCGTTCACCAACTTTGCATCGTTCACCGGACCTCTAACGTTGACTAGAGCCTTGTCCGTCGATGTTACGCTACTTCAAAGCACTAAAGTCGTTCCATTGTTCGATTGCACGTTTAGGGTGTTTTGCAAAGCCTATTTTGTTGTTGTCATTGGTGGTTTGTGTTGTGTGGGTTTATGAAAGAGTGGGATTGACACGGGAAGGGTTTTCCTTGTTGATTAGGATGGAAGATCTTAAGGATGCAGATTCTTGCAGAACATTCCACCATTTCAAAGCACCCTTGAAGGCCGAAACCACGTGGGTTTTGAAGTTTTTCGTCGTTCGTTTCTCTACAACCACCATTGGAAGCACAATTATAAGCAAAAACCAACATTCAAGACGAAAAAACAGCGCTGGTAAGTTTTCGTTGTCCATTTTGGTTTTCCTTTATTGTTGTTATTCGGTTATTTTCACTTATTTAAAATATTTGAATTTTTTTTATCATTTTAGAGAAAAAGAAATTAGAGGTTGATGTTTTGATTCTATTAAGTGTATCAATTGGTATGGATAGTTAATCCTATGTTTCTAATAAATGACTTAGTGTGTTTATATTTGGGTTTGTCTCGTGAATAATTTTTTTTCACAATTAATTATTGGTTTGAAGGTCAAATGGGTACTTGTTTGTAGTTCACTCCAAGATTATAAAAGAGCAATGAGTTTTTACCTAATTGGTGGTCATTTGAATACTAAAGATTAATCTCTTCGAAAAAGGATTTTTACCTGATCCATGTGAGATGGCTTCTTAGTTTTGTTGTCTCTGTTATTTTTGTGAAGTTCTTTTTCTGGAATAATTTGGCTACATGAATCTATACGCCTACCTCAATTGTGACGATGGTTAAAATTTCATCTAGAAAAGGCCTTTGACGTCATCGTTTAGACGTCAGACCCCCAAATATCCAACATAGAAAATGACCGGTGACATTTTTGTAATTAAAAAGAATATTTAACGATGGACGCCAAAAAGATACGTAAAAGTAAAAAAATGAATTTTGGCTTAATAGCCTTTTTTGTCCCCAGTTTTGTTCAATTATGTCAATTTGGTCTCTGGTTTTAAAAAGGTGTCAACTTGGTCCTCACTTATTAAATTTTGCATCAAAATTGTCCCTTTCGTTAAATAGAAACAAACGGCGTTAAGGATGGATGATATGGCAGAAGACTGATATTTTTAAATTGTATGTATGGTGACGTGTTTAGTATTTTCTTTAATTATAATTAATTTGAATTAATGTTTTTCTTTTAATTACTTTTAATTATAATTAAACCTCTCTCACTTTCCTTTCTGCCCCTTTCTGCCCCGCTCTGCCTCCAACACCCTATCACCACCCCCACCCCCAAACCCCTCTCTCACAGCCGCAGCATTCTGGAAATCCGAGCCTACAACCGCAACGGAAGAAGCGAATTAAGAATGAGTAGCGCGAAAAGAAACGACTTTTTACAGAGTTGAGTACCGTGATGTGACGCTGTTGTTGGGGAGAGATGGAATGGATGGCATGAACCCTAACGGCGAGCGATTGAGAGCGTTGGGACATGGAAACGAGGAGGGAAGAGGAAGAAGAAGAAGGGTTGTGGAGAAGGAGTGGACGAGTTATGGTTTTGGAGAGAGGGTCCCAACGGTTGGGTGCCATCATGAAAAAGCCGTGACTGCAGACTGCTTGCTCCAACTGGAATGGCTCTGATTCGGAGGGAAGCTCCATGTGGAATTCGAACCATGTTGTTCCTTCTGTTGATTTTCTTTTGCTTAAGATCTTGCATTTGAATAATATTTCTTCACCCGAAGGTCTAAATCTTTCACAGCTTCTCTCTGGGTGTCCTAATATTGAGATCTTTTCACAGCTTTTCAATTATGATATTTTTTTATCTTTTCTTCAAACATTAGTGTTAATTTAATTTTTTTTTTATTGTTGTTATCAGAGCAGTTTTGATAAGTAGTTTGGTCATTCCCACAATTTGTTCCTGCTTGCATTTCATCACACCTTAAAACCTGTTCTCTTAAATATTATAGTGGTTCTATTGTCGCTTATGAAGGTAGAGAAGAGACCTTCGTTTTTGAAAAAGATAAAAAGAAACCCTAAAGAAAAGAGGGTATGGGCATGCCCTAGAAAATACCAAATGCAATTCTAAATTCAATCTCTGCACTCATTCTCTAACACGTAAGCATAAATATATCTACAAAATGCCACATCTTCTGCCAGATCATCCATCTTTAACGCCATTTGTTACTATTTAACGGAAGGAACAATTTTGATGCAAAATTTAATAAGTGAGGATCAAATTGACACTTTTTTAAAATTAGGGATCAAATTGACACAATCGAGCAAAACTGGGGACAAAAGAGGCTATTAAGCCATGAATTTTTTATTCCTATTAGACATTCGGGTTGGCGGGGTCTGACATCTATAGTCTATTTAGACGTCAGACAGCTCCATTGGACGCCAAAATGGTCGCGCCAGAATCTCAAAAGTCATTTTTTTTCGTCATTTAGACGTCCGACCCCGTCACCTGGACGTCTAGATACGAATTAGATGTCTGAGCCCCTATGCCGGACGCCAAATGGCCTGCAGATGTAGGTAAAAAGTGATTGTTCCATTGCCCTTAAATGTCGGCTAGACAGCTCCGACTTCTAAATGGACCTTAGACGTCGGGGCCCCTTATGTCGAACGCCAAAAGGCTCTGCCAAATTTAAATTTTTAAATGATTTAAACGTCGGCTTGGGAGGGGCCCCGCCATTTCAATGCATATAGACGTCTACTTGGGAGGGGCCCCGACATCTAAATGCATTTTATTACCGCAACGCGAACTCGCGGGCAGTTACGCGCACTATTCATTATCTTTCTCCTCTCGTTTTCTCTCCCCGGTTTACATTTTCCAGGTGCGTTTTCTCTCTTTTGGACCGTTTAAACTTCGTTTTGCTCCGATTAAATTAGTCTTTGATGAATTATCTTCCATTTGAACCGATTAAAATGCGTTTTCGTTGTGTTTTTGTGCAGTTTTGCTCGTGTCCTTGGGCAGCCATTTCTTGCGTTCTTGGGTGGCGATTTCTTGCGTTTTCCTCTCCTCCATTTCCCTCCAATAAGTTTTTAATCTGTTAAGAAGGTTAGCATTTTTATTTAAAAGTTTTTGTCTATGCATGTTATTAGCTTTTCGGTATGCATGTTTTTGGCATTTGAATATGCATGTTATTGCCTTTTGGGTGTGCATGTTGTTGGCTTTTGGATATATACATGTTATTGAATTTTGTGTATGCATGTTATTGGCTTTTGCGTATGCATGTTATTGGCTTTTGAATATGCATGTGATAAAGTTTTGTTGTGTTATTATGATTGGTATGTTAACTTATTAGTATCAAATTGAGTGAAACTTAGTTCCCGTTTGAAATTTAACATAAACGATTAATATTTTTGTATCAAGCTAAGGCTGTGCACTTTGCTAGTTATAAAGACAAAAATTCAATCACAGCATCCATGAGTTATTTTGGAATAATACAAGAAATATGGGAAGTTGATTATGTCAGTTTTAGAGTCCCAGTTTTCAAGTGTAAATGGGTTGATATAAATTCCGGTGTCATGACAGATGACTTTGGTTTCACATTGGTGGACCTTAACAAGATGAATTACACTGATGAACCATTTATTATGGCTAGTCAAGCAAGACAAACATTCTACGTAAATAATCCAACAAATCAAAAATGGTAAGTGGTTTTGGAAGGAAAAAACATGCACAGATATGATGATGAAGATTCTCTTGATATACTTGAGACAACATCTGTTGCATCAAGACTTATTGAAGACAAGGTTGATGACGTAGCCGATGACATCACACAATTCGTAGTGATCACAATGAAGGGATCTCGGAGAAAACAATATCTTAATAGGTTTTGTGATATTTTTTTAGTGACTTTAAATGTTGTTTTATGGCTTAATAACACTGATGGTCCCTATTTTCGTCAAGTTTGTTCGAAATGGTCCTAGTTTTTTTTATGTTCAAGTTGTCCTAAAGAATGTAATTTATGTTCAATTTAGTCCTTTTTGCAGACGACGTTTAAATCGTTAACGACCAACTGTCCAGTTGTTCAATACCCAAATGAGATGGCATTTAACTACCCACGTGGAGTTGTCACGTGTCCTAATCGAGGAGGGTCATTCGCTCTTGTGATGATGGAAGCGCACCAGTGGTGGTCACGATTCTTGTTCTCTCTCACGACGATGTTGGCTTAATGAAGAAGAAGATGAAGACGTTGCAGCCTTGCCCTTGTGATGGATGCTGGCGGTCTTGCACTAGGTGGATGTGCAATATAAGGGTTATGTGGGTTTCTAATTTGGGAATTTTTGAGCTGATTGTGTTTCATTGTAGGTTGATGAAAACACAAGGGAGAAGCAGGTTCGCAAATATGGTGGTTCTTATGTGCAATAGGGTTGAGGGTTTCGAACTGCTAGGTTGCTTCAATGGA